TGATAACTGAGGCTGCTCCTGAGGTGCTCTGTACATGCACGTGGTGCAGGTGATAACTGAGGCTGGTCCTGAGGTGCTCTGTACATGCACGTGGTGCAGGTGATAACTGAGGCTGCTCCTGAGGTGCTCTGTACATGCACGTGGTGCAGGTGATAACTGAGGCTGCTCCTGAGGTGCTCTGTACATGCACGTGGTGCAGGTGATAACTGAGGCTGGTCCTGAGGTGCTCTGTACATGCACGTGGTGCAGGTGATAACTGAGGCTGGTGCTGAGGTGCTCTGTACATGCACGTGGTGCAGGTGATAACTGAGGCTGGTCCTGAGGTGCTCTGCACGTGCACGTGGTGCAGGTGATAACTGAGGCTGGTCCTGAGGTGCTCTGTACATGCACGTGGTGCAGGTGATAACTGAGGCTGGTCCTGAGCTGCTCCGCACGTGCACGTGGTGCAGGTGATGACTGAGGCTGGTCCTGAGGTGCTCTGTACATGCACGTGGTGCAGGTGATAACTGAGGCTGCTCCTGAGGTGCTCTGTACATGCACGTGGTGCAGGTGATAACTGAGGCTGGTCCTGAGGTGCTCTGTACATGCACGTGGTGCAGGTGATAACTGAGGCTGCTCCTGAGGTGCTCTGTACATGCACGTGGTGCAGGTGATAACTGAGGCTGCTCCTGAGGTGCTCTGTACATGCACGTGGTGCAGGTGATAACTGAGGCTGCTCCTGAGGTGCTCTGTACATGCACGTGGTGCAGGTGATAACTGAGGCTGCTCCTGAGGTGCTCTGTACATGCACGTGGTGCAGGTGATAACTGAGGCTGGTCCTGAGGTGCTCTGTACGTGCACGTGGTGCAGGTGATAACTGAGGCTGCTCCTGAGGTGCTCTGTACATGCACGTGGTGCAGGTGATAACTGAGGCTGGTCCTGAGGTGCTCTGCACGTGCACGTGGTGCAGGTGATAACTGAGGCTGGTCCTGAGGTGCTCTGCACGTGCACGTGGTGCAGGTGATAACTGAGGCTGGTCCTGAGGTGCTCTGCACGTGCACGTGGTGCAGGTGATAACTGAGGCTGGTCCTGAGGTGCTCTGTACATGCACGTGGTGCAGGTGATAACTGAGGCTGGTCCTGAGGTGCTCTGCACGTGCACGTGGTGCAGGTGATAACTGAGGCTGCTCCTGAGGTGCTCTGTACGTGCACGTGGTGCAGGTGATAACTGAGGCTGCTCCTGAGGTGCTCTGTACGTGCACGTGGTGCAGGTGATAACTGAGGCTGGTCCTGAGGTGCTCTGTACATGCACGTGGTGCAGGTGATAACTGAGGCTGCTCCTGAGGTGCTCTGTACATGCACGTGGTGCAGGTGATAACTGAGGCTGGTCCTGAGGTGCTCTGTACATGCACGTGGTGCAGGTGATAACTGAGGCTGGTCCTGAGGTGCTCTGTACATGCACGTGGTGCAGGTGATAACTGAGGCTGCTCCTGAGGTGCTCTGTACATGCACGTGGTGCAGGTGATAACTGAGGCTGCTCCTGAGGTGCTCTGTACGTGCACGTGGTGCAGGTGATAACTGAGGCTGCTCCTGAGGTGCTCTGTACATGCACGTGGTGCAGGTGATAACTGAGGCTGCTCCTAGGTGCTCTGTACATGCACGTGGTGCAGGTGATAACTGAGGCTGGTCCTGAGGTGCTCTGTACGTGCACGTGGTGCAGGTGATAACTGAGGCTGCTCCTGAGGTGCTCCGCACGTGCACGTGGTGCAGGTGATAACTGAGGCTGGTCCTGAGGTGCTCTGTACATGCACGTGGTGCAGGTGATAACTGAGGCTGCTCCTGAGGTGCTCTGTACATGCACGTGGTGCAGGTGATAACTGAGGCTGCTCCTAGGTGCTCTGCACATGCACGTGGTGCAGGTGATAACTGAGGCTGCTCCTGAGTGCTCTGTACATGCACGTGGTGCAGGTGATAACTGAGGCTGGTCCTGAGGTGCTCTGTACATGCACGTGGTGCAGGTGATAACTGAGGCTGGTCCTGAGGTGCTCTGCACGTGCACGTGGTGCAGGTGATAACTGAGGCTGGTCCTGAGGTGCTCTGCACATGCACGTGGTGCAGGTGATAACTGAGGCTGGTCCTGAGGTGCCCCTGATGATTCTCACTGGAAGGGCTCTTCAGCCAGGGCAGGTGCTTCTGGCACTCTGGGGCCAGACCCATCACCTCCTCTTAGTGCTGGGTGCTGAGGCCCATTGGCAGCCGCAGTACTTGTCCTTCCTTGTCCCCATCGCTCTGCCCCGATGTGTTCCCCTTCCCATCACTTACGGTGATGCCACTGGAGGAGACCAGTCCCTGTTTCCTCTGCTCTGGATCCTGACCCCATGGTCACTGTGGCCGAGGCCACAAACTGTCGGGTCCAGCAGAGCCCCCGTTGCCTCCTGGCTCCTTCCTCCCCTCTTGGCTCCACAGCAGGGGCTTGGACCTGAACCACTCTGGGATTCCATGATTCCGGGAGCCAGGCTCAGCAGGACCAGGGCAGAAACAAACAGGAACAAGTCCCTGACTTGTGCTTACATTTAAAATGGGTCTGCAGAGAAATTCAAGGAGGCTCCATTTGGCATCAGCTCCATTTGGCATCAGCTCCTTTTGGCATCAGCTCCTTTTGGCATCAGCTCCTTTTGGCATCAGCTCCAAGTGAAACAGTGGAGAAGTGAATGAGACTTGATCAACAAAGAGTGGAAAGGGCAGGGATGGGATCAACGGCAATCAGGACCTGTTTGTGGTGCTCAGCTGCTGCAGCATCATCTCATTTCATCTCCTGCTGAGCTCCACACGTGGGTGATGAAGTTTCCTAGGGCCAGAGCACAACCCTGAGCGTTTCCTCACCTTCAGATGCTGTTAAACCTACCTCATTGTAGCAAAGCCATCAATGAATGATGAGTAAATCAGACGCTGATGGAGTTTGGGAGCTGCAGACCCTTCTCTCAGTGATTGCTCCCATCTGAGCGCTACTTCCCCATGCATTCCTGTGGGATTCAGCAGGGGTTGGTGGGCTGTGGGTGCTGGTGGATCTCTGGTTGTTGCCAGTGCTGCAGAAACCAGGATAAACCCTTCTCTCAGTGATTGCTCCCATCTCCATGCATTCCTGTGGGATTCAGCAGGGGTTGGTGGGCTGTGGGTGCTGATGGATCTCTGGTTGTTGCCAGTGCTGCAGACACCAGGATAAACCCTTCTCTCAGTGATTGCTCCCATCTCCATACGTTCCTGTGGGATTCAGCAGGGGTTGGTGGGCTGTGGGTGCTGATGGATCTCTGGTTGTTGCCAGTGCTGCAGAAACCAGGATAAAATCGATGCTGCTGAGGTTTGTGGATGGTGCAAAGAGAATCGGACAGAGGCGGAGGCCAAGTCCTGCTCCTCGAAGGGGCTGGGCCAGGGATGAGGGCTCCGGTGGAGGGGGCTCCACAGATGCTCAGAGAACCAAGGGAAGGAGCATTTGGAGGGAGCACTTTGGATGATGCTCGGCCCAGGGGCCAATGGGAGGTCCCAGCTGGGCCACAGGGAGCCTATGGGAAACAGCAGTGCTCTGATCCCACTGAGCTCAGCTGGCCTTGGTTCTCGGTCCTCTTTTGCTGTAATGAAGGCAAAGCATCCGTCAGGTGCTCTGCAGTGGTCACAGTGTCGGCTGTGCTGGGAAAGGCCGTGGAAAGAAGCTTTTGGTCCTGGGAGGTGCTGGAGGGTGAGACAAGACCCATGCAGCTTGTCCAGCCTGGAGAAGAGAAGGCTCCTGAAGGGGAGACCTGAGAGCAGCTCCAGTGCCTAAAGGGGCTGCAGGGAACCTGGAGAGGGGCTTGGGCAAGGGCCTGTAGGGCCAGGCCAAGGGGGACGGGTTGACTCCTCCTAGTGCTGGTAACCATGAGGAGCCTGCCCCAGCCCCCTGTGAGCTCAGGGGGCTCCTCACTGCGGCTCCTCTGACACCGCTCCCCCTGCAGCACCTCTGGGATCCCATTCGTTTCTCACGCTCAGGATGAGCCGAGGCAAACTGAGCCAAGTCCCCTCCTCCTCGGGAAGGGTCCCTGGAGCCCAGAGCTGCCCTGAGCCCAGCGCAGGGGGTGGGAAGGTGCCTCAAGGGCGGGCACGCTCTGGCTCCATCTCCTCTGGGTGTTCAGGTAACGTTTAACCACGGCAGAGACATAAACCCCCCCGATCCGCCGGCTGCTGCCCATTACGCACGGCCCTGCAGGTGTTAACGGCTCAGCTGGTGATTCATTGACCAGGGCACATTGACCTGGGCAGGTTGGTGCCAGACCTGGCCACTGCCACATCCCCCTGGGAGCAGAGCAGCTCCCTGGCTTTAGAACTGCCTCCTTGGCTGGAGAGCATCAGGGAAGGGTTTGGGTTGAAGGGACCTTAAAGCTCCTCCAGTTCCAACCCTGCCACAGGCAGGGACCCCTTCCACTGGAGCAGCTTGCTCCAAGCCCCTGTGTCCAACCTGGCCTTGAGCACTGCCAGGGATGGGGCAGCCACAGCTTCTCTGCGCACCCTGTGCCAGCGCCTCAGCACCCTCACAGGGAAGAGCTTCTGCCTTATCTCCAGCCTGAGCTTCCCCTGTTTCAGTCTGAACCCATCACCCCTTGTCCTATCACTGCAGTCCCTGATGAAGAGTCCATCCCCAGCATCCCTATGGCCCCCTTCAGACACTGGAAGCTGCTCTGAGGTCTCCACGCAGCTTCTCTTCCCCAGGCTCAACAGCCCCAATGTTCTCAGCCTGGCTCCATGCAGGAGCTGCCCCAGCCCCTGAGCATCCCCGTGCCCTCCCCTGGCCCCGCTCCGTGCCCTCCCTCTGTGACGTCACAGGGGTTCAGCGGCGCTGCCCTGGGCCGGGGCCGCAGTGGGGCGGGAGCAGTGGGGCAGGGCCCGGGCACTGGGCACCATCGGGCAGGGTGCGCGCTCCCGGCCCCGCTCCACCGCTGCCCCCCGTGGCCGGCACCTCCCAGCGCAGCAGAGCTCGGCCCCGCTCCCGAGACGAGCCGGCCCCCGGTCACCATGGAGCCCTCGGGCATCATCAGCGTGGTCGTGAAGACCCTCAAGCAGAAGGAGCAGTTTGAGGTGGCGCCGGACTGCACCATCCGGGAGCTCAAGGAAGCGGTGTCCAAGCGGTTCCAAACACCCCCCGAGCTGCTGGTCCTGGTCTTTGCTGGGAAGATCCTCCAGGATCAGGACACGCTGAGCCAGCACGGAGTTCGTAATGGGGTCAGCATCCATGTGGTCATCAGGTCCCAGAACAGAGCAGCAGTCAGCCTGGCAGAGCAAGGGAGAGCGACCACCCTGGTGCGGCCTCCCACCCACAGCCGTTCCGGCCTGGGAAGCATGGAAGACCTGCAGGACCCAGGCTTGATCCATCGCGACTTGTCTGAGATGCTGGCCTCCAGCCGGGAGGTCGTGGCACAGACCATGGAGGATCTCTTGTCCAGGATCCTCGCTTTGGGCCTGGAGCTGGACACCATCAGGAACAACGCGTTTCTGATGGGGTTCCTCCTCGGGGTGACAGGCGTCCATCTCCTGGGCCTGGACTCCACTGAAGTGCTGGAGCTGGTGAGCAGCATTGAGGAGCAGGATGTGTCCATGCTCAGCCTCCTCACCAAGGTGCTGCAGAGCCCCATGGTCAGTGCCGACCTCGTCAGGGACCTCATCGTGTCCAACCCGCAGCTGCAGCAGCTGGCGGAGGAGAACCCCGAGATTGGCCACATCCTCAGCGACCCGCACACCATCAGGGAGATGCTGGAGGCCGCCAGCAGCCCCGCCGCCATGCAGGAGATGATAAGGAACAATGACCTGGCCATGAACAACCTGGAGAGCATCCCTGGCGGGTACAGCGCCCTGGAGCAGCATTACCGGGAGGTCGAGGAGCCCATGCTGGACGCCATGGAGGAGCACATGGTCCCCAACCCCTTTGCTTCCCCGGAGAGCCGCCCATCGGCGAGCGGAGCGCAGCTGCCGGCGCACACCGAGAACCGGAGCCCGCTGCCCAACCCCTGGGCTCTGGAGCCCGGCAGCGCCGGCGGCACCGCAGAGCTCCCCGGCCGCAGCGCTGACAGGAGCTTGGCGGTGCCCAACAGCGGCGCGGTGCAGAGCATGGTCCGGCAGCTGGCCGGCACCCCGCGGCTCATGTGCAACCTGGGCTGCGCGCTGGCAGAGCCCGGCAGCCCCGCGCAGGCGGTGCTGGACCCGCACGCCCCCAGCGATGGGAGCTCCCCGCCGCTGGAGCAGCAGGAGCTGCCTCCGGAGCTGCAGCAGGCGGAGATCTCGGCCGTGCTGCGGAACCCCCGGGCGCTGCAGGCGCTGCTGCAGGTCCAGCTCGGCCTCCAGGCCCTCTCCGTGGAGGCTCCGGGCTTCCTGCTCAGCGTGGAGGATGCGCGGCTGGACTGGGGGCTGCAGAGCACGGACAAGTCATGGCAGTGCGCCGAGCCCGAGGACAGCAGCAGCATGGAGCTGGGTGAGGAGGGAGAGGAGGACAAGGTGGAGGTGGACGCGGAGGAGCTGCAGGGATTGTTTGAGCAGCAGATGGAGCAGCTCAGAGCCATGGGCTTCCAGGACCGGGGTGCAAACCTGCGGGCGCTGCTGGACGCGGATGGAGAGCTCCAGGCAGCAGCTGAGATACTGGCCAAGGCCCGGCAGGCAAACAAGACACCATGAGCAGCTCGTCCTCTGTGGGGGGCTGCGTCCCACCTCAGCACGCACTAAAGGCAGCAGGGTGCATGTGAAGTTGTGTGCTGCAGTGTTCTGTCCGTGACCTCATCTCCCCTTAGCTGCAGGGGTTTCCTGCATTTGACATGGTTTAGTGGGGACTGGGGTAAGGTTAGACTTGGTCATCTGAAGGCCTTTTCCAGCCCAGTTGATTCTGTGATTCAGTAGGATCACAGAGGGGTTTGGGTTGAAGGGACCTTAAAGCTCCTCCAGCTCCAACCCCTGCCACGGGCAGGGACCCCTTCCACTGGAGCAGCTTGCTCCAAGCCCCTGTGTCCAACCTGGCCTTGAGCACTGCCAGGGATGGGGCAGCCACAGCTTCTCTGGGCACCCTGTGCCAGCGCCTCAGCACCCTCACAGGGAAGAGCTTCTGCCCCAGATCCCATCCAAACCTACCCAGGGTAGCTGCTTTCCTGCTATATCTGGCCAAGAGCTTAAACATCTCTTGGGCACCGCTTTGCACAGCAACGGGCAGCATTGGGGTGATGCTTTGCCCAGAGAGGCAGCACTGGGGTGATGCTTTGCCCAGAGAGGCAGCATTGGGGTGATGCTTTGCCCAGAGAGGCAGCATTGGGATGATGCTTGGCCCAGAGAGGCAGCACTGGGGTGATGCTTCGCCCAGAGAGGCAGCACTGGGGTGATGCTTGGCCCAGAGAGGCAGCACTGGGGTGATGCTTTGCCCAGAGAGGCAGCATTGGGGTGATGCTTGGCCCAGAGAGGCAGCACTGGGGTGATGCTTTGCCCAGAGAGGCAGCACTGGGGTGATGCTTCGCCCAGAGAGGCAGCACTGGGGTGATGCTTCGCCCAGAGAGGCAGCACTGGGGTGATGCTTGGCCCAGAGAGGCAGCACTGGGGTGATGCTTTGCCCAGAGAGGCAGCATTGGGATGATGCTTGGCCCAGAGAGGCAGCACTGGGGTGATGCTTTGCCCAGAGAGGCAGCACTGGGGTGATGCTTTGCCCAGAGAGGCAGCACTGGGGTGATGCTTTGCCCAGAGAGGCAGCATTGGGGTGATGCTTTGCCCAGAGAGGCAGCACTGGGGTGATGCTTGGCCCAGAGAGGCAGCACTGGGGTGATGCTTCGCCCAGAGAGGCAGCACTGGGGTGATGCTTTGCCCAGAGAGGCAGCACTGGGGTGATGCTTGGCCCAGAGAGGCAGCACTGGGGTGATGCTTTGCCCAGAGAGGCAGCATTGGGGTGATGCTTTGCCCAGAGAGGCAGCACTGGGGTGATGCTTCGCCCAGAGAGGCAGCACTGGGGTGATGCTTCGCCCAGAGAGGCAGCACTGGGGTGATGCTTGGCCCAGAGAGGCAGCACTGGGGTGATGTTTTGCCCAGAGAGGCAGCACTGGGGTGATGCTTGGCCCAGAGAGGCAGCACTGGGGTGATGTTTTGCCCAGAGAGGCAGCATTGTGGTGATGCTTTGCCCAGAGCGGAGCTGCAGACCTGGCCCGAGGCTGCAGAGCATCACCTCGGAGCAGCCCCGTGCAGTCAGTTATGGGGCTGGTCACATTAACTGCCAGAAAACACCCTTTCATTTGAGTCACTGTAACTGAAAACAGCCCCAAAAATATGTAATGCCTTAATAGCCTAGTCTTATGAGGTGGAACCTGACAGTTCCCTGCAGGACTTTGCTTCATTTCTCATCACTCGCAGATTACGCATCGGGGCTGTGGTTTCATGAACGAATTGTGAGTAACTCCTGCCCTGTTTCCCTGTTTGAAGCTCTTGGGGACCAGGGAGCTGATGGTTGAGTCAGAACCGGCTCCAGCCACAGGTTCATCTCTAAGTTACTGTTACCTCCACAGCAAAGTGCAGTTAATCCATCATGACTTTATCATCCGTGTAATGGTGGCAGCTTAATGGTGCCATGCAAACCATGGCTGCGTCCTCCAAAGTGCCACACCATCACCTACAGGAGACCCCGGGGCTTTGCAGCCCCACGACCCGCAGTGGGTGAAGAGGAAGGCACAAAGTGTTATTTACTCTCACTGTGGGCAGCAGAGGTGGGTTCTGTGTGTGCAGCACAGGCTGGGATGTTCCCGTATGGAGCAGATCAGGGGAAGGGACCTGGGGGTGCTGGAGGACCCCAGCTCCATAGGAGTGAGTGGTGAGCAGCTGAGCAACGAAACCCCGCAGGGTGCTGGGGAGCATCCCCAAGGGCATCACCACAGGGATGAAGGAGCCCTTGTCCCACTGTGCTGGGCGCTGGTCAGGGCACCCCTGGAACATGGGGTCAGGTTGCTTTACCAGGGGGAGGGTTTTGGGGGTTACTTTCTGCCACCACCGGTTTCCCCCCATAGAGGCACCACATCTCCTGCTGCTGTGGAATAAGCCAAAGCTGCCTCCTCCATGAGAGAACACCGCTGCAGACACAACTGTGGGTGCCTTGGTTTTGCTTCCCAGTTATGGGAATACCAGAATGTCCTTCCATCACCTCCTCCTGTGTCTCACCCAGGAATACTCGGAGGTCTCTCCTTCCATTATGCTCAAGTTCCTTGGGTCATTCACCTCTCCAAAAGGCCCTTCTGTGTCTGTTCTTGAGTTCTGGAGCAAGCAAATGTGACTTCAGCCTTGGTGGGACCAAGGAACTGTTGCTTCTTAGTTCTAGTACTGTTCCTCACAGTGTCACCTCTAGGCACTGCTTGCGATGTGGACGCTTCCAGCCAGCTCTTCCTTGCTGCTGGGCTTGGGATGAAGAACACCAGTGGTGGAGGGGATCCTTCCCCTGTGCTCAGCACTGGTGAGGCCACATCTGGAATTCAGCGCTCAGTTCTGGGCTTCCCAGTACAGGAGAGACATGGACAGACTGGGCTGAGTCCAGCAAAGGGCCACCACGTTGATGAAGGGGCTGGAGCAGCTCTGCTCTGGAGCCAGGCTGAGAGAACTGGGCTGGTTCCGCCTGGAGAAGGCTCCAGGGAGATCTCATCCCCATGTCCCAGTGTTTAAAGGGGAAGGATATCAGCCATAGTTCAGAGGACAGAGCCAGGCTCTTCCCAGTGCAATGGGCACAAACTGGAACACAGGAGTTTCCCTCAGGAAGCCCTGACCTGTTTGATACTGGTGTTTACTGACATAAACCCTCCCATTCCCGATGTGTGAATGGCATTCCTGGTTTCCCATCCAGCGTGTCAGGATGCTCTGAATGTCACCTTCTCCTGGGGTGCTTTTAGTCCTTCTGCCTTGTTCTCCCTGCCTAATCCATGAACCATCTCCCAGTCCCAACACCAGGATGCTGGAGCTACACAAGACATGGCAAATAGGTGAGATAATAACATCCTAGTCTGGAATGTGCACATGGAATGCAGTAATGAAAGGCCAGCTCTTCTCTGCAAGATCAGATCTACCCCCCCAAGTTACACGACAAGACCCAACGGAATTGCTGCTCCCTTAAAGGCTCAGTAAAGACAATCGTGAATCAGTGCAGGAATGAGGAGGTTCCTTCAAACCACTCCTTGCTGCGTTTTGACAAGGGATAATTGAGAACTTTGCTTTGGAAAAGTCTGTTTTTCCAATGAGCTTTGCTTTCCCTCTCCCCTTCCTTGCTTCTGAATGGGTGAACCGTGTCCCAGGGACAATTGCAGCCCAGGCATTCCCTCTTTACTCCACCCCATCACCACACTCTTCCCATCCAGGGGGGAAGGGGGATGGCTTTGTCACAGTTTGATCCCAAGAAATCCACGTTCGCTGCAGCTCTTTCCCTGGTACCTGCCCCGTGCTCCCTCCATCAGTGCTCCCTCAGCATTCCTCAGGAGATCAGTGATCTCTCGCTCCCTTTCACTTCCCTCGCTGGAGCCATCCCCGGGGCTCCTTCTCCCAGCCTGGTTTTCACTCTCATTTCTCTCCTGCTCATTCCCAACAATCCCTGGGCTGCTCCTGAGCCTTTCCAAGCCCTCTGACGGGAGCTCCCTGCCCTGCACAGCCTCATTCCTCATTCCAACTCCCTGCTCCCGGCTCCCTCACTGCTGCTGATGGGAGACCGCTTCAGGGGAGTAACTCCTGACACCCCTGTTCCTCCCACCCGCCCCAGCGCTCCCTGCGGCCCCCGCAGCTCAGCAGCATCAGCTCCTGCACGGACCCGGCTCTGAACGCAGCCGCTTCAGGGGAGTAACTCCTGACACCCCTGTTCCTCCCATCCGTCCCCAGCGCTCCCTGCGCCCCCCGCAGCTCAGCAGCACCAGCTCCTGCACGGACCCGGCTCTGAACGCAGCCGCTTCAGGGGAGTAGCTCCTGACACCCCTGTTCCTCCCATCCGTCCCCAGCGCTCCCTGCACCCCCCGCAGCTCAGCAGCATCAGCTCCTGCACGGACCCGGCTCTGAACGCAGCCGCTTCAGGGGGAGTAACTCCTGACACCCCTGTTCCTCCCATCCGTCCCCAGCGCTCCCTGAACCCCCCCCCCCGCAGCTCAGCAGCATCAGCTCCTGCACGGACCCGGCTCTGAACGCAGCCGCTTCAGGGGAGTAGCTCCTGACACCCCTGTTCCTCCCACCCGTCCCCAGCGCTCCCTGCGGCCCCCGCAGCTCAGCAGCACCAGCTCCTGCACGGACCCGGCTCTGAACGCAGCCGCTTCTCGTTCCCCCTCCCACCGCTCCCGTCCCTGCGGGGCGCTCGGGCCCCCGCTGGCTCCGCTCTCCCGCACAGGCGCTGATTTACACACGATGGGGTCAGCGCCAGCCGCTTGCTCATTGCACCGGGGGTGGAAAACGGCTCCTGCCCTGCACCCGCAGCGAGCTGCGGAGCTCCCGCAGCAGCGCCCGCCCAGGGCCCCTGGGACCGCGCTGCCCTCGCCCGGTCCGCGCTGCTGCTCGAGAGCCCTTCAGCCCAAACCGGCCCAGACTCCATGGCTCTCCCTACACCTCCCTCTCTCTTTACACTGCTACCGCAAATAAACGGCGTTTTAAGGGTCTGCCTGGGTGATGCTGGGGCCTGGGCAGTGCTGGGGGTGAGAACGGTCCCTCCACAGGGAGCCATCATTTCTCTGCCCATGTCCATCGGTCCGAGGCTCCAGCGCTTCCTGAGCCAGGAGCAGTTTGGTGTGGAACAGCCTTTAATGGGTTTGATCCCCACTCCTGTGGATATGTCCCTGCTCAGCTGAGCCCCTGCAGACTCGTGCTGCTGCTGGCCCCAACAGAACATTCCGAAGCTTAATCCTGATAAAACCTGTAATTGGACTTCAATTTGCCACCTGCTGCTTGCTGGATGCCTCCTCCTACTCTTGCATGAAGCACCAGTGAGTGATTACACCAGAGCATCCTCCTCCATCCACCCACCCAAGGCGTTACAGAGCCCTCACCGAGCCTTCCCCATCCCTCCTTCAGGCTGAAGGTCCTGGTTCAAGCAGCTCCTCCTTGCATGGAAACTGTCATCGGCCTTTGCTTGGTCTTGTTGCCCCTTCCCAAAACCCTTCTGGGTCCCTGTGAGGACAAAGGGGAAGATGGAAGCATCAGCTCATTGAGTTTTAGATCAGGAGCTTTGCAGATCAAAGGGGAGAGTAACAGGGAGAGGCACAAAACACGCTGGAGCCATGGAATGGTTTGGGATGAAGGGAGCTTAAGGCTCCTCCAGCCCCAACCCCTTCCACAGGCAGGGACCCCTTCCACTGGAGCAGCTTGCTCCAAGCCCCTGTGTCCAACCTGGCCTTGGGCACTGGCATTAGTGGGGATGAGACAGGCGCCTCTTGCTGCTCCTGTGGGTCTCCAAGAGGTTTCCCTTTATCTCCATGCTTGAAGAGTGGGAGAACTGTGCCTGAAGGAGCTCTGCGCTGGCACCTCCTGATCTTGGTGCCTGGGGAAAAGCCACTTTTCCAGGGGATGTGTCAGTGAGGACCACTCCAGGTGGCCCTGCTGGGGAGGTATCAGGCTATGGAATACGGGGCTGGGGGCCCTGCAGCTGCTCACCAATACCAAAACCACCTGAAACCAGGAGGAAAAGGGTTTGACCCAGAACAGCACTTGTGTACACAGCCAGCGAGGGAGGAGGGCAGCAGCAGGGGCTCACAAGGTGATGCTGCACCAGTGGGTCCATAACCCATGTGCATTCTGGCAGCAGGCAGGTACCTTGTTATCCCGGTACAACAGGGATGGGAGCTGCGGCACTGAGGGGAATGGACTGGAGAAACTGGCCGAAGTCACGGACCTCCCAGTTCAGATCCCACCGACGTTCCCCATGGAGATTCCCTGTTCAACAGCTGCAAGGAAGAAACAGAGCCATCAAAATGAGGCTGGAAGTGGATGGGCTTTAAGGTCCCTTCCAGCCCAAACCAGTCCATGATTCTGTGACCATAGTAACACCAATCTGCTGCAGAAGAGCCAGAACACACACTTCAGCAGCCCATTCCCGGCATTCCTGTGTGCATCTGGGTTTGTTCCCCCACCTTATGTGCCCAGAGGCCAATTTCCACCTTGTTTTGTGGCTCCCAAACAAATTCTGCGCTTTAGCATAGGGCTGAGACAAGAACCTCCATGGGAGGTACCCAGAAACCATGGGAAGAGGCTTTTGAGACATTTCACTGTCAAGAAGGAGCTTTAATTTGCAAGGAGGATCACCCTTGGCTCTGGTTTCATTCATGTATCTCTTACAACTGTCTCCCTTCTTGTTTTACTCCTTCCTTGCTTTCTGTCCCCAGGTTTTCCTCTCTTGGCTCACAGGAACTTGCCTCTTCATTCAGGGCTATTAAAGCACTTCATCAAGCAGAGGCAGTTTCTCTTCCAGCAAGCAGAGCACGGGAGTGTGTCACCCACTACAGTAAATGAGTGGATCTTCCCTGCAGAGCAGCAGCAGAACAAACCTCCTATTGCAGTCTCTATCTGCTCCCTCTCCATCACCACCCAGTGCTCAGCATCCCTGTGAGCAGCAAGGAGAGCTCCTCTTCTCCCCTGAGCTCTGGGCAGGTCCGTGGTCCTTGTCCTCCAGGAGCACTGCTGCTCACATCCACTGCCCTGGACCGTGCCCTCGGGGTGCAGGGGCTCGGGAAGCTCCTCATTCCCTCTCACAAGGTGATCCAGAAGTTGCATCATGGAATCTCCAGTGTGGGATTTCAGAAGCACCTTCGAAGCCTGAAGTCTTTCAGGGAACAAAGACTGTGGTGGATGGAGCAACCCAGAGGAGTCTGAAACAGCAAAGTCTGCCCAAGGGGAACACATCCGTTCTTTCCTGTGTCCATCAGGAGCCCCCCTCTTGCACTCACTTTTAAACTGCATTTTAACCAGTTCTGTGAGCCAAGGAGGAAAACCTCAGATGTTCCCTCAGGGACCTGGGGTTCTCCCTGCTCTTCCTGTAGCTGATTCATCCTGAAGGACTCAGCACTGGGATGCGGCTCCAGAGTGAGATGTTGAACACGGGTCCATCCATGGAGTCTCTGTGTGCTGGTGGTGGGTCCCTGTCTGCACAGGGCACCCCAGACCCCAGGGCTTCCCCCCTCCTTGATGCCGAATCCCATCCAAGGTGTCCTCAGCATCCTCCTGGCTGTGGCCCAGGTCCTGCCAGGGACCCATAGCCCAGCACCACGGCACTGATTCTTGTGCTGAGTCCATTTTCAGGTATGCTACCAATTAACTCTTGGCTTCAGACATGGAGTGCGTTTGCTTTCAGCCCCTAATGAGGTTCTGATCACAACAACACGCTCATTGCCCTGCACAGCGGCAGGGGAGCCATGTGGGACACCAGCAGCATCTCTGATGGGACCTGTGGTCTCTGGTGGCACTGAGCAGTAATATGGAGGTGAGAGCATTGAGGCTCCTGCTGATGCAGGCCCTGGGGTGCTCAGCACACCCTGGGGTGCTTCCCCAGCATTTGCTCATCCAAATGTGACCCCAGGGAAGAAGCATCCAAAGCAATTCAATCCCACGCCCTGGAGATGGGTTGCACAAGGAGAATCATTGTATGAACCACTGTGGATGTACCCCCCATCCTCTTACGTACGAGGATGCAGTGCAGGGGGTTGGAACTGGAGGAGCTTTAAGGTCCCCTCAACCCAACCCATCCCATGATTCCCTGATTCTGTTTCCTCCACCCTCTTCCTTCCTATTGCTACCTGAAATGAGCAGCGTTTAAAGGGGTGTTTTAGGGGGTCTCAGCGGTTCAGGCAGGGCTGAGGCAGCACCCACAAAGCAGGGGGTTAGAAAGAAGCCACTGGGACACACACAGGATGCCCTGGGGGCTCCGGAAGCCTCCATGCAGGCGGTGCTGGGCTGGTGCCAGCAGTTATCTGCCAGGGACAAGCAGTCACTGCTCTGAAGGCGCCGCAGAGCGCTCCGTGCCCAGCGCTCCCCCAAAGGGAGCGAGGCGGCACCAGGAATTCCTGAGCAAGGCCAAGGTCAGGATGCGCTGAGCATCGGGATTGATGCTGCGGTCCCCTGCCTCGGGGAGCAGAAAGAGCGAGCAGAATGAGGCTCTATGGGAAGAGGCAATGGAGGGGAGGTGGGAGGGAGGCTCGGAGATGGGGGGGATGTGCTCCCTGTCACTTGTGATGAGGGAGTTACTGCCAAGTTAAAGCAGCTCACGACTGGTTCGGAGGGAACGTCTGGGGTCGTTCTCCATCGCTGAAGCAGGCTCCCCCCAGCACCGGAGCACAGACTGCTTTGGGTGGAAGGGACCCAGTGCAGGGTCCTGGATGGGCCCTCCCCGGGCACCGGTGCAAATCAGAGCCCAGCGGCAGGGCAGGAGCAGGGGACACGAGGTGGCTGTGAGTGGCCAAGGCCGATAAGAGCCCTCCCCGGGAGGAAGCCCTGGGCTGGTTCCCAAGCACGAGGCTGCTGCGGTGCAGGGGGCCGGGGAGCGGCTGTCCCCAAAACAACGCTCCCAAGGTAACGAGGGCTGGGGGAGGTGGAACCGCCTTTAACAGCAGGGGAGGGGGGCTCCAGGCACCAGCACCAGGGCCAGGAGCTGCCCCATTGAACCTGCCCCAGGGAGCTGCTGGGCTGGGGGGTTCTGAGGTGCTGCAGAGGCCTGGAGGTGCCCTGGGCTCTGAGGTTGGTGCTGGGGTCATGGGGTTTAGATGGATGGGTGTGGGGTTATGGGGTTTAGATGGATGGGTGTGGGGTTATGGGGTTTAGATGGATGGGTGTGGGGTTATGGGGTTTTAGATGGATGGGTGTGGGGTTATGGGGTTTAGATGGATGGGTGTGGGGTTATGGGGTTGGGTTTGGGGTTTAGATGGATGGGTGTGGGGTTATGGGGTTTAGATGGATGGGTGTGGGGTTATGGGGTTTAGATGGATGGGTGTGGGGTTATGGGGTTTAGATGTGGGTGGGGGATGGGGTTTAGTGGATGGGTGTGGGGTTATGGGGTTTAGATTATGGGTGTGGGGTTTTGGGGTTTAGATGGTTGGGTGCTGGGTTCTGGGGGTTTAGATGGATGGGTGTGGGGTTATGGGGTTTAGATGGATGGGTGTGGGGTTATGGGGTTTAGATGGATGGGTGTGGGGTTATGGGGTTTAGATGGATGGGTGTGGGGTTATGGGGGTTTAGATGGATGGGTGTGGGGTTATGGGGTTTAGATGGATGGGTGTGGGGTTATGGGGTTTAGATGGATGGGTGCTGGGTTCTGGGGGTTTAGATGGATGGGTGTGGGGTTATGGGGTTTAGATGGATGGGTGTGGGGTTATGGGGTTTAGATGGATGGGTGAGGGGTTATGGGGTTTAGATGGATGGGTGTGGGGTTATGGGGTTTAGATGGATGGGTGTGGGGTTATGGGGTTTAGATGGATGGGTGTGGGGTTCTGATGTGGGGTGGCTGCTTCCTCGTTCTCTGCTGCCTGTGGCTGCATCCTCAGCTCTGTACTTGCTGCCTCCTGGGCTGGTTTATGCTCTTTGAGTGCTGTTTTAGTGCTGTAACTGCTTTGGCTTCCTCCTGTGCTCTGCAGAGTGCTTCTTAAAGGATAATTTGGTTTAGAGCTTTGTGCCCTGGTGGGAAGGGAAGGGAGGGGAAAGGGGGGGCGGTGCCTCGGGTGGGGCCTGTTTTGGGGGGGTTTGGGGCAGTTTGTGGGGTTTTGGTTGGTTTTTTTGGGGGGGTCATTCTCGGGGGGGCTGTTCTGGGGGGGTCATTCTGGGGGGGGCTGTTCTGGGGGGGTCATTCTGGGGGGGGATGTTCTGGGGGGGTCATTCTGGGGGGGCTGTTCTGGGGGGGCTGTTCTGGGGGGGTCATTCTGGGGGGGTCATTCTGGGGGGGCTGTTCTGGGGGAGGCTGTTCTGGGGGGGCTGTTCTGGGGGGGGTCATTCTGGGGGGGTCATTCTGGGGGGGTCATTCTGGGGGGGTCATTCTGGGGGGGCTGTTCTGGGGGGGCTGTTCTGGGGGGGTCATTCTGGGGGGGTCATTCTGGGGGGGTCATTCTGGGGGGGCTGTTCTGGGGGGGCTGTTCTGGGGGGGTCATTCTGGGGGGGTCATTCTGGGGGGATGTTCTGGGTTGTTTCTGTCAGTGAATGACTCGAACCCCATCCTCTCCAGGGTAGAGGCTGAGCCATGGCTGCGTGAGCTGGTTCTTACTGCTCAGCTCCGGCCTCCTTTGGGGACCTTGGGTGTGGGCCTCCGAAGGCCCCATGCACCCAAGGCAATGCTTTCCTGGTTCAAGCCCCTCAAAGCAGGGCGCAGCTCCTGGCCCGCAGAGGTGTTGGGGTCACGGTGCCATCACCCTCCTCCTCCGAGCCTCTCGCTGAAGCCATCCCATAGGTGCGGTGTCCGGCTGCGGGTTTGGGAGCTCTGTGGGGGCTCAGTGCAGAGGGCCCGGTTTGAAGGGGTCTCTCAGCATCACTTCACCATCAGGGATGCTTGAGGTTAACACTGGAACAGCCCCAGCACTGAAAGGGCCGTTTGTCCCTATGGTGCTGCTGAGGACATGTGGCTGATCTCATCCTTCACTTGGTGCTGTGGGTCGCTGATGTCCTGGTGTGTCCCCAGGAGCCTCTGCCCCCACAGCACCTCCTGTATTGCTGCCTATGGCAAACCCCTCCTGTGCTGTCCCTGTCCCATTCCCGCAGCTCCATCAGCTCCCTGGGCCCATGAGGATGGGGATGGGGCGGGTGATGCTCCTGCTCTTGGCTGCTTGCACCGTGGTACCCGCCAGGGACTCACTGCTGAACGTCTGCATGGATGCCAAGCACCACAAGACCAAGCCTGGCCCCGAGGGGATGCTCTATGAGCAGGTCAGACCCTTCTGATGTGTTGGGTGGGATTGTTGACCCTCTATCCCCCTTCCCAGATGATACGGGCTCGGTTTGGGCTTGGAAATCACTTGCCTGAGCAAGAAACCCTGTGGTGGGTTTGAGGACTGGCTTTTGGTGTCCTCTGCTAACCAATGCTGTGGTAGGAGCAGTCTGTCATCTCAGTGCCCCCCCCACCTTTAGCCACAAGGTTTCCTTCTCCAGTCTGTGGTACCCCAGCTCAGACAAGGTGAAGGACGACAAGGAAGGATGCTGCTGTCTGCTCCTCTGCCAGCTTTACAGGCTCTTCTGGCCAAGTGAAGAGCTCTGGCCCCGGCTCCTTGGAGCTGGTCCCTGAGCATCCTCTGGCTCCCTGAGCAGCCTGTGCCCTGCTCCTCTGCAGTGTGCTCCCTGGAAGGACAACGCCTGCTGCACGGCCAACACCAGCCTGGAGGCCCACCGGGACCAGTCCTACCTGTACAACTTCAACTGGAACCACTGCGGGGTGATGCCCCCCCGCTGCAAGCGCCACTTCATCCAGGACACGTGCTTGTACGAGTGCTCCCCCAACCTGGGGCCATGGATTGACCAGGTGGGACCGAGATGATGGGCTCTGCACCCTGGTGTGTGGGGATGTGCTCCTGGGGGTGCTGGGAACCCTCCTGGGGGGTGGGAAGGTCTGAAGGACATCGCCGGCCCTAAGTGATGGGGGAGCGGCTGCTTGTCAAGGCTGGGGCTGGAGCCCTGCTGGGGTCAGCTCTATGGGGCTGGCGCATCCGGGATGGGGCAGATCCTGCCCCTTGACTCTGCAGGGTCAAAGCAGCGGCGCGGTCCCGTCCCTCGCAGGCCGACAGCAGCTGGCGGCGGGAGCGCATCCTGCACGTGCCCCTGTGCCGGGAGGACTGCGAGCAGTGGTGGGAGGACTGCAAGGACTTCGTCACGTGCAAGGAGAACTGGCACAAGGGCTGGAACTGGGCCACAGGTTGGTGCCAAGGGCAGCGAGAGCCCGGCTGTGCCCCTGCTGCCTGCGCAGGGCTGGAGCCAGGACCCGTCACTGCTCCATGGGAGACCCCATGGCCCCCACAGGGCGAGCTCAGAGCCAGAGCCCCTCCGTGGGCTGGGCTCATCCCTGGAGCAGGAGCAGCAGCGCAGGGAGGGGATCCTGCCCCTCTGCTGGGCTATGGGGAGACCTGAGAGCAGCTCCAGTGCCTAAAGGGGCTGCAGGGAACCTGGAGAGGGGCTTGGGACAAGGGCCTGTAGGGCCAGGCCAAGGGGAATGGCTTGAACCTGCCTGAGGGGAGACTGAGCTGAGCTCTTAGGCAGAAGCTCTTCCCTGTGAGGGTGCTGAGGCGCTGGCACAGGGTGCCCAGAGAAGCTGTGGCTGCCCCATCCCTGGCAGTGCTCAAGGCCAGGTTGGACACAGGGGCTTGGAGCAAGCTGCTCCAGTGGAAGGGGTCCCTGCCCTGGCAGGGGTTGGAGCTGGAGGAGCTTTCAGGTCCCTTCATCCCCCCCCAGGCTGTGTCTCTATAAGTAGCTCTTACTTGTCTATGGGGCTGCCACCAGGAGGCTGAGGAATCAGCGCGGGTGCAGTGATGGGCTGATCCCCACAGGGGCAAGGATAACGGAGAAGGGCCCTTGCTCACGCTGCTGTTTCCCGTTGTGGTGCTCTGTGTCCCCAGGCACGAACCGCTGTCCCTGGGGCTCCCTGTGCAGACCCTTCAGCCAAGTCTTCCCCCGGCCAAAAGATCTCTGCGAGAAAATCTGGTCCAACTCGTACAGGTTCAGCACGGAGCAGCGCGGCAGCGGGCGCTGCATCCAGATGTGGTTCGACCCTGCCCAGGGCAACCCCAATGCGGTTGTGGCCAAGTACTATGCATGGAAAAGGAGATCGGCCGGGATGGAGACCGCGTCTCCCGAGAGCAGCAGAGCTGAGGGTGCTCTGCCATGGCCCGTCCTGCTCCTGCTGCCTCTGGGCATCGTGGTGCTCCTCGATGGAGCTGGGGGCTGTGGGTCCCATGGGGGGGGGTCCCCATGACTCCTTCCAGGGGGACATGGCTGCTGCTGCTGCCCTGCACGAGGAGCTGGCACAGGGAGCTTGGTTCTGTCCAGACTGGGTGCGCACCCCACTAAGTGCTTCTATGAGTTGTGCCCTGGGACCTTTACCTGCCTCTGAGCTTTCATCTGCCTCGGAACCTTCATCTGCCTCGGAACCTTCATCTGCCTCTGAACCTTCATCTGCCTCTGAACCTTCATCTGCCTCTGAACCTTCATCTGCCTCTGAACCTTCATCTGCCTCTGAACCCTCATCTGCCTCTGAGCCTTCATCTGCCTCTGCTTCCAGCTGGTGACTGAAGCAGTGATTTCCTCACCATCTGAGGCAGGGTGATGCTGTCTTTGCTCTGATGGAGGAGCTGCTTCAGTGTCCTCTGCTGAGCCCTGGGGTCTGGTCCTTCAGTGGGCTCTGGCTCCCTCAGGGCTGCGGATGACAATAAACCACTGCTCTGAACCAGCCTTGCTGTGCCCTATGCAGGGGTGGAAGTGCTCTGGGGGTGGGACAAGGCTGCTGGGATCTGGGAGGTGCTGGGTCTGGGATCTGCAGTGTAGGAGTCTGAGGGGCAGGAATGCTGCAGCTTCTGGGGTAGATGGGGACCGGGGCACTGAGAGCTCCTTCAGTGCTGTGCTCCATGTGCTGGAGCGGTGTGGAGCTGCCTGAAGGCTGGGGCAGCCTCAGGAGAGAAGGGGAGACCTGAGAGCAGCTCCAGTGCCTAAAGGGGCTGCAGGGAACCTGGAGAGGGGCTTGGGACAAGGGCCTGTAGGGCCAGGCCAAGGGGAATGGCTTGAACCTGCCCGAGGGGAGACTGAGCTGAGCTCTTAGGCAGAAGCTCTTCCCTGTGAGGGTGCTGAGGCGCTGGCACAGGGTGCCCAGAGAAGCTGTGGCTGCCCCATCCCTGGCAGTGCTCAAGGCCAGGTTGGACACAGGGGCTGGAGCAGGTCCCCTCCACCCAAACCACTCTGATTCCCTGGTCGTGCTTCATCCCTCCCTTGCCCGGCTCGTGGCAGCTCAATGGGAAGTTCACTCATGCAGGGGCAGGGTTGTATTTCTTCTTCCTCTGGCATAGCTGTAGCCCCACTGAAACGAGGAACTTCCCGTCTGCCCGCGGTACCCTGATGGGCCAGGAACAGACCAGAGACAAGAACCAGCATCCCTGTGTGGAGCATTTCAGAGCATCGCTGCTGCCGGGTACTCGCATAGAGAGAGGAGAAATTCCTGGTGTCTCCACTGTGCTCCGTTGTTCACCCCCCACTGAAGTGATGTTTTGGATAATGGCAGTGTTCAAGGCCAGGTTGGACGAGGCCTTGGGTGAGATGGGTTAGAGAGAGGTGTCCCTGCCCATGGCAGGGGTTGGAACTGGATGTTCATAAGGTCCTTTCCAACCCTGACTATTCTATGATTCTATGATTCTAATGCTTGGGGCTTCATGATGCTTCATTGGAGAACCTTTCACTCAGGTACGACCAAGGGGGAGGAGCCCTCACTGCTGCTGGGAGCGCTTTCACTCGTACTGTGCCTTCATGGGCCCTTTCCTTCAGCCGCACTGCCTTTTCCCACCAACACCTGTGGCTTTGAACAGTCCCAGCTCCTTATGTGAGACCCCTTGAGCCATTCTGGAGAGCAGGTGCCCTAAGGAAAGCCTCCGGAGTGAGGAGCAGCGTTTCCCAGCACAGCAAATCCCTGGGCCTCGGGGCTGTTGAAAACAAGATCATGGAATCATATAACAGTTCGGGTTGGAAAGGACCTCAAGATCATCCAGTTCCAACCCCTGCCATGGGCAGGGACACCTCACACTAAACCATGGCACCCAAGGCTCTGTCCAGCCTGGCCTTGAACACTGCCAGGGATGGAGCATTCACAACCTCCCTGGGCACCCATTCCAGTGCCTCAGCACCCTCACAGGGAAGAATTTCCTCCTTAGATCCAATCTAAACTCCCCCTGTTTCAGTTTTAACCCATCACCCCTTGTCCTATCACTGCAGTCCCTAATGAAGAGTCCCTCCCCAGCATCCCTATAGGCCCCCTTCAGATACTGGAAGCTGCTCTGAGGTCTCCACGCAGCTTCTCTTCCCCAGGCTGAACAGCCCCAGTGTTCTCAGATGTTAACCCTCATCTCCTCCAGTCTGTTGATGCTGCTGCTCTGGTCTCCAGCCCTGCTTCATTTCACGGGAGGAGCAATCTGGGAGATAAGACTCGAATCCCTTCCCTCCCTAACAGTCCTTGATGGAAATGAATGTGAAACACAGGCAGCTCCTTCCTGAGCTTTATGCTTGCTGTCAGCATGCTTTGCTTGGCGTGTCCTTGAAGGGTATCCAAAGCGTATCCTCGATGCCAACATCCAGCAAGCGCAAAGGGAGCTGCTGGGCACCAGTCCCCAAGGCAGACTCTGGTGCCTGTGGAAGTGCTGGGTAGGGCTGCTTCAGGCTGCAGAGCGAGCGGGGTGCTGCTTGCTGCAGCTATAGAAGAGCTTTGTGAGCGTGGAGCTGTGAATGCCAGACAGATTTAGCTCGTAGTTGTCTTTTATTAGATGAACCCGCAGCCAGAAACCCTTTTAAAGCCTTCCAAGCTGCAATCCAGTGGGAAAGGCAGCAACGCTCACAACTAAATATAGCTTGAGGGGAACGGCTCCGAGGTCTCTGGCTTGTATCCCATGCTTCTGTCGGATGCAGCTTTTCTCATCCTATGGGATCAGGCGTTGGTGTTTCGGTGGTGCTCTGCTGCTTGCCTGGAATCCAGCTCTGAGATGAGGTTTCCTTGCTTTCACCCAGTTGTTCAGGCAGAGCCTCTCTCATCACTATGACCATGGGGGAATGCGTGGCACAGAGGAGCTGTGGCTGCCCCATCCCTGGCAGTGCTCAAGGCCAGGTTGGACACAGGGGCTTGGAGCAAGCTGCTCCAGTGGAAGGGGTCCCTGCCCATGGCAAGGGTTGGGGTTGGATGGTTCCCTTCAGTTCAGCACTGCTGAGGCCGTGTCTGGCACTGGGTACACTCTGAACCTCCCAGATCAGCAACTCCTTCATTACTGGTGCCCATTTACCACCTTCATCTCCTGCACATGCAGCAATTCACTGACAGAACACCAGCAAAGCTTCACCCCGTTTCTACCAACAGCCCTTCTTCTTCCCACAACCAGCAGCAAAGCCCTTCTAAACCCCCGGCTGCTTGGGGTTACCCACGGGTGGATGGGCAAAGCCTGTGGGTGGTGATGGAGTCGCACAGCTCAGAGCTGCAGCAAGGATTTGGGTTGTATTTTTAAGGGCAAACTCATCCCTTTGGCAACTGTAAGCCCTGGTCACTGGAATTCCAGCTGGAAGGTGGCCGTGAGTGGATCAGAGGTGGCTTCTTGCATTGCACAGGGTAGATGCTGCTAATGAGAAGACACGAGAGAACTGAGCGATATAACTGCAGAAATACTTGAACCAGACCTAATTTCCAATGCTGTCTAATGGGGAACGGTGTGTCTGCTGTCCTCGGTGGAAAAAGGGAGAAATGCCTCAATAATCAAACATATTGTAGAGAGCCCTCAGTATCTCCATGAGCACTGTGCTAGGAAGATGAGGAATGTGCTTCAGCTCAGCAGGGACACAGGAGCAGGAGGGTTATCAGTGAGAACAGTTCCTCTCAGTGGGCACAAAGGGGAGTTAAAGATTAGCCAGCAGGCAGGGGCACGGGCTGGCACGAGATGGGTGCTCTCAAGAACGGGTCCGTGGGTCTGCAGATGAACTGACAAGGGAGGTCCTCGGGGGGGGTCTGCTGGATGGAGCGGCCTAGACACAGGCTGAGCTGCAGACCCACCGTGGGGATGGCTTTGCCGTGGGGCTGCCTGGGGCTCCGGGCAGGTAAAGGTGCAGGTTTATGGGGCTGGGAGCAAGCTGCTCTAGGGGAAGGTATCACTGCCCATGGCAGGGGGTGGAACTGCAGAAGCTGGAAGCTCCCTTAGCACAAACCAGCCTGGGATTCTCCATCTGCACCATGAGGTTGGTGTTTCCAGGCCTCAGACCTGCTGCTGTGCTCAGGGTGGGCCGTCAGCCCATGCACGAGGAACTGGGGATCTTCCTTCCTTAATGCACGAGGAACTGGGGATCTTCCTTCCTTAATGCATGAGGAACTGGGGATCTTCCTTCCTTAATGCATGAGGAACTGGGGATCTTCCTTCCTTAATGCATGAGGAACTGGGGATCTTCCTTCCTTAATGCACGAGGAACTGGGGATCTTCCTTCCTTAATGCATGAGGAACTGGGGATCTTCCTTCCTTAATGCATGAGGAACTGGGGATCTTCCTTCCTTAATGCACGAGGAACTGGGGATCTTCCTTCCTTAATGCATGAGGAACTGGGGATCTTCCTTCCTTAATGCATGAGGAACTGGGGATCTTCCTTCCTTAATGCACGAGGAACTGGGGATCTTCCTTCCTTAATGCATGAGGAACTGGGGATCTTCCTTCCTTAATGCATGAGGAACTGGGGATCTTCCTTCCTTAATGCATGAGGAACTGGGGATCTTCCTTCCTTAACACACGAGGAACTGGGGATCTTCCTTCCTTAATGCATGAGGAACTGGGGATCTTCCTTCCTTAATGCATGAGGAACTGGGGATCTTCCTTCTATGCATGAGGAACTGGGGATCTTCCTTCCTTAATGCATGAGGAACTGGGGATCTTCCTTCCTTAATGCACGAGGAACTGGGGATCTTCCTTCCTTAATGCAATCCCATGTGAGGAACTGGGGATCTTCCTTCCTTAATGCATGAGGAACTGGGGATCTTCCTTCCTTAATGCATGAGGAACTGGGGATCTTCCTTCCTTAATGCACGAGGAACTGGGGATCTTCCTTCCTTAATGCACGAGGAACTGGGGATCTTCCTTCCTTAATGCATGAGGAACTGGGGATCTTCCTTCCTTAATGCATGAGGAACTGGGGATCTTCCTTCCTTAATGCACGAGGAACTGGGGATCTTCCTTCCTTAATGCAGGATTAACCCATGTACTTACCATGTGTTTCTGCTGCCATGTAGCCAACCAACAGGGCTTGGGGCAGGGAGGAGTTAATCCTGCT